TTAGTCGGCAATGAGCATTTACATATTTTTATATGCCACTAGCGTGACAAGATGCATTTAGGACTTTCCGCTATTGGTATATCCATCTCCCCTAGCCGAGGCATCCGCTAACTTGCACTACGGAAGTCTGCCAACCCATAAACAACTGCAACTGCAGTTGTTTTCTGAGAGCAACATTAAATATTTCTCTGAATCGCATACTTATTAATGTATTTACTGAGCTGTATGAACCCTTTAACATCTAAGGTCATAGGTCTCGTATATCTCTGTTGAGTATGTGATAAAGATGGCGAGGTGAATGATGATGGAGCAGATGCTTAATTAGATGCAGGGTAAACAGGAGAACCCCGAGAAAATCCTGTCGAGAGTTCGCTTGGTCCTCCAGGAATTTCACACGGGTGGACGTTGTAATCAAATCCGGGTTCATCGGCCGCAGGCGGATGCACTAACCATTCCCCCTCGAACAGATGTGTTATGAGTTGCTAAATAAACGGGAGAACCCCGAGAAACCCCAACCGCTTTGCCCTCCAGAAATTTCACACGGGTGGACATTGTGATCGAACCCGGGTTCCCAACGGCAACAGGCGTATGCCCTACCCACTCCCTCATGAACCTCCCCACCCATCCAGATGATCCTGAAGATATGTCTGTATTTGCGCAAAGAGCTAACACGTGTTTGTTTCTCTTTGCTGCTTCAGGCTGCTGGGCTTCCGGCGCGCCATGCCCGTGACGGGCCGCGTGCTCAACATGACGACGGAGCTGTACGAGCTGGCGGAGGGCGAGCTGCTCAAGACGTTTTTCGTGTCGCCCTCCAACAACCTGTGCTTCCACGGCAAGTGCTCGTACTACTGCGACACGGCGCACGCCATCTGCGGCAACCCGGACACCATCGAGGGCTCGTTCGCGGCCTTCCTGCCCACCAAGGAGGTGGCGGTGCGCAAGGTGTGGAGGCACCCCTGGCGCCGCTCGTACCACAAGCGCAGGAAGGCGCAGTGGGAGCAAGGTGAGGCACACGCGGACGCATTCGGCTGGCGTGGCGACCGAAGCTTGAGTATTTCGTCTTTCCGGGTGCGTCAACTGCTATGATCATTGGTCCCGTAAATGTAATGCATGCTTTATCACGAAAGGGGGCGGTGTTGTTCCCCGCCGGATATCCGGCACCGACTTACATGACGGATTTCAAGATTTCGTTAATAGAGAAGGGGGTAAGGAACATTAGCCCCGTAAGTGTAGTGGATGTTTATCACGGGAATGTGGTGGTGTTCCCCGCTGGATGGTGATATCCGGCACCGACCTACATGTCGGATTTCGATTTTTCGTTGAAAGGGATGGGGGAGAGGAACGTTAGTCTCGTAAGTGTAGTACATGTTTTATCACGACCGGTGACGGTGTTGTTCTCCGCCGGGATGGTGATATCCGATACCGATCTACATGTCGGATTTCGATCCATTTTTTCCATCAAGGTATCTCTCACCAGCGGAGCACAACCCAAACCGAGACAAAGTCTAAGCTCCCGTCGGGTCTCCAGATATACGGAGTATGTAGTAATGTAGTGCATGTACGTTTGTGTGTGTGTGTGATGGGGTGGGGACAGAACTAAGAAGAGGAAGGAAAGATCGCGAGCGGTCCGTTGTACGTTTGTCGGGGGTACTTCTCCGGTATTCGCGTGGTGTCAATCAGAGAAACCATGGAAAACTAGCGAAGAAAAAAACAATATTTTACAACGAAAGTATCTTGGGAAGTGGGAAGACTTTATAATATGTAAATATAATGTACAATCTTTAATTTAGCAAAAATGCATAAGTGGAAACATTTACCAAGAATAATTATGCATAAAGTAATGGAAAAGTTCTATACATGATTAATTTTACTACCGCTAACCTTTGGGAACCGTTTCACGTGAGTAGCTTAAAAAACAGAGAATATTCTTATTCTTGAATCCTTGATTTCAAGTAGCATCTTTAATTTTATTCCATTTCCTTTAGCCGTAAGATTTTCTCTTTGACGGACTTGGGTGTTTTCATTTATTGGCTTTGCCCTTAAAGTCCTAGATTTTCGAGGCATTAATCGATTTGCATTTCAGAGTGTCTTTAAATATGTCACTAACGTGCGTGCGCCTGTGGTCCATGCGCAGACTCCGACTACTGCTCGTTGGTGCGCGACATCCCTCCGTACGACCAGGGCCGGCGCCTGCTCGACCTCATGGACATGGCGGTTTTCGACTTCCTCATGGGCAACATGGACCGCCACCACTACGAGACGTTCCGCGTGTTCGGCAACGACACCTTCCCGCTGCACCTGGACCACGGGCGCGGCTTCGGCCGCCCCTTCCACGACGAGCTCTCCATCCTGGCGCCCGTGCTGCAGTGCTGCCTCATCCGCCAGTCCACGCTCGCCACGCTCCTCAGGTGAGGACACGCTCGCGCTAGGTTGACTCGCATGCGATCTTTTTTTCTCGGCCGGAGGAAGCCGTTGATAGGGAAGGTGGCAAGGAACTGAGTAGAGAGGGCCCGGCATTGCGCGCGGCGATGATGTAACGAACTGTTTTTAAGGGCGAAAAAATCCTTCGCACGCCTTCCTTCGGAAAGGCCGGCTGTCCCATGTTAGTAGATTTACTTGCTCGTAAAAGATCCTCAAGCCTAAATGACGCCTCTGAGCTAAATTCAAATCGACTGTTTCTCGCCCAAG